AGAATGGTGAAGTCAAGTTAAACTTCTGTAGTTCAAATGAGCGAATTGCAAACATCTTCACTAAGGCATTGCCAATAAAAAGTTTGAAGAGTTTAGATTAATGTTAGGGGGGTCTGCAAAGCAAACCTTAAGTAGGAATGTTAAAGTAAGGCTTGCTTTAAAGACCAAGCAAAGTAAAAAACTTAGTGAAGGGCCATCCTTTTGATGTTTATGTTTGACAGATTACTTGTATTGGTGAAAAAAGTCACTAAGGCATGGTTTGGCTTAATGTTAATTGGTTTTGTGTGGTTGTGTACAAGCTTAAATCAAGTTTGTACTATATATATATACACACACACACACATATATTTATATATATGTTAATGATTGATGTGAGGCATGTATTGCTACTCAATTTCAGACTTTGTTCTTCTCGATTCTTATCTTTTCTTCTTATTCTTTCTCTTTTTTTTTTTCCTGTTTTACCTTCAATGCTGCTACAATGAACTTGCATGTCTATGCAGCTAAACTTTATGTCTTAGATACTTAATTCCAACATGATGACTGAAAATATTTGTCAGTGCGAAATACTAGTAACAATTTCAAAGTATAAATGCTTTTGACTTGGAAACATGCAACTATTTTCTCAGAAGTATTTAACCATGTTTTTGTCAAATACTATGAATTAATCACCAGAAAAACATGTGAATCACATATCCTCTTTGGTTGTTTTCTTGAATGGACTGGTTCAATTGAATGATAAAGTGGAAGTTACGCTAGAAAGAAAAGTGAAAACTCATTGATTTTGAACTAAAAAATGAAAAAACAATGTTATCTCATCTCATAAATTTCATTTTACTCTACGTAAGATTTGAAAAGTATTAATCAACAAACAGAAACAATTATTCCATTATCACACCCCAAAACTGAAACATGACACAGGATCATATTATCTCGAGATTAAGTCCCAAAGTAATACGAAGCCTTTCTATCTTTTATTCATATAAAAGTCTTCAATTCAAGTTACGTTGACAATTCTCTTCTTACATATTTGAAATATAAACTATAACACCTCATCTAAAGTTTCCAAGATAATCAATTAAACCAATTAGAGACTTAAGTATCAATTACACATAAAAGTTTCATGCATCTAGCAATATCTTTACATTAAAGTAGACTTATCAAATTGTTGTCTTAACTCTCATAATTTTAAAGCTTTTATCTCTAATCATCTGTAAAAATGTAAGTAAAGAAATGAACAAACTTGGCTCAACAAGTATAGCCACACATACCTTAGTGGATCAAGCATTGTTTTCAATATATCATATAGTTCATTTAAGATGATCTCAATAAATCATACTTTCAAATAGTTAAACAAATCATTTTATCCAAACTGAGGAATTTCATAAGTTCATAAGTCATTGATCATCAAATATCATTCTTGCACTTGAACATTTGGCTTATTGGTTGGTGCATGATCTCCCTTTTTAAAGAGCATGATTCGAATCCTCCTTCTCTAAAAAAGAAAAAAAATGTCATTCTTAAAATATTGCTCAAGGAAATCATTAATTCAGTCTTTCAAACTTGTAAACTTTTTCTATGCTAACTATTATATCCCATTGCGGGACCATGTGTTAACTATTATATCTCGTTAACAGGGCTATAAAACTATTTTTGGTGTTAATTATTTCACTTTCCAGGGATCATTTTGTAACTCTTTAAAGATAACAAATGATTTCATTTCATTCATAAATTGATATCCATCATATGAATAAACCAAGACATTCATAGAGTAATGTTTATCACATGAATAAACCAAATCATTCATAAATTAATCTTCGTCATATGAATAAACCAAAACATTCATAAATCATTCTTTCATCATATGAATAAATCAAAATAGAAAATAATCATATGCTTAATCTTATTTTCATTTATAAAAAATAATGAAATAAAACGTTTAATTCTTTCAATAAATATACATATACGATAGTTTCGAAACAAATAAAGTGTGCGAAGATATACTTACCTTTTTTTGCTTTAACAACTTGCTTTCTCTAAAAAATAATAAAAACCCTAATAACAATCATTTAAATATATTAGAAACAGTCTAACTCTCTAAAATCTATTTATCATCTCAAACTACACAAAATAATCCAAACTCTCTTAAATAAAAAATCTAGACAGTGTACACACCTTTCTCTAAAATGACTATATCTTAAGCTACAAAAGTCAAAACCAACATTAATTTAATGCATTGAAGACTAGACTTAATAGGCTTTCCATCCATATAATGCTCAGCACTTAATTTCCTATAAGAAAAGTGAAAAAAAAAAATCTGAAATTGGCCCTACCATTGCTGCCATGCAATTTGCACTGTCTTTACAAAAAATTTCATATCATTACTTAGAAAACTCAGAATTCACTTCCGTTTAGTACATTAGAAAATAGACTCATGTAGCTTTTCAACCATATATAACCCAAATAGTAAAACTCCATAGATCAGTACAGAATCTGAATTAAATTGATGGTACAATTTGTGAAACTTGGTTCTTATGAACAGATTTTACTTTTTAATTCAAAGAATATGACTCTTCCCTATCTAGCCTTTAAACCAATCATATAATCATACATTTAAATTTTAAATAGTGAGTAACAGAAAAATCGAATGACTAATAACTCTATTATATAGAGTTATCTTATGCATCTTTGGAACTTAAATTGAGCTAAGTCTTTTAGTTTTTAAGTAATCCATAGGTAGTTTTATGCTTAGTGCTAGTAGTTTATTTTATGTCATGACATTTTTTATTTATGCAATTTTAATGAATTTCTAGATAAAAATCTCTCATTTTAGCCTATAATTATGTAATCTTCTAATATTGAAGGATGTGCAAAGACGGGAACTCAAATTGACAATGAACAGTGTAAGTTGGCTTGAAAAGGTCTTTGAACATGTTGTAATATTTGGAGCATAACTTGAACTATAAAAACCCAATCGAGGTGATTCTTGACCAATAAAAGCCGAGAGGAATAGCTACAACTTTGATGTTCAACATTTCACCCAGATCAAAAGGAATCATGGCTAAATATGAATCTGAAGAGTGAGGATTGCAGCAGACTACACTGAGGAAGTCAGAGACTTTCTCGTTACAATGAGAATTCAATTTCATTGGAGGGAGAACTAGGAAGATACCAGCGGCCTCCGTCAAGTTAGAGTTTTTCTCGCTATAGCGAGATTGCATGTTGGCTCTAATGAGAAACAAGGTAGAATTCAGCCTCATGTCAAAAAGATTTTCATTGTAAGGAGAATGGATTCTTGCTACAACGAGAAGCAAGAAAAGTGCAACACCAAGTCAGAGGAATTTTCGCTGCATAGAGAACATGCCATTTAATGAACATTTTTGCACGAGTTTTTAGGTTAGGGCTGAAAATATGGCATATAAATACATGTTTTGAGCTAAGAAAAAAGGAGGATTCATATAACATTTTGGGCAAAAGGAGGCTGAAACCAAAAAGGGAAAAAAGAGAGGAAATCAAGAGCTTTAAAATATCAAAAAGCTGTACCAAAGTAGTTTTCACACTAGATTTGATTTTCTCTCTTTAACTCTTTTTGTAAAAATGTTTCATTTTGGTGAGATGTGTATTTGTCTTTTGAATATGTTGAGCTAGACTTCTTTATCTAGGATTATGGTAGATGCTATTGTGTAGTTTGGATGTTTTAAATTGATTTTTACTTGTTATTTAAGGGAATATTAATGTTTTTTTGAGTTTGTGCTTATTGTCTCTTTTGTTGTTTGATCACCAACAAGTAAAGTATGGGGTTTTAGAGGATGCTTGACAAAGATAGTCTAAATAGACCTAAGTTTGAATAGTGTATGTTCATCTCTTGTTAAGAAAGTAAGTGGGTGATTACTTAATAGGATGGACTTATACCTATTAATTATACATAGTCAAACATAAGACCTAAACTCAATTAACTTCGCTTTAATTAATTTTCTATAGACGTATACATAGTTAATGAAGCTATGCAACTGTACGATGACCTGAAGTAGAATTATGCATGCTTAAGGAACCTAGACTAACATTAATTTTCATAAAAGTAGGTATTTAATTGAACTTGTATCCCAACAAAGCAAACGCTAAACCCATAGTCCTAGGTTTTAATTACGTTGTTTCCTCACTATAATTTGAGTTTACAATTCTTAGATTAATTTAGATTTTTAGATTAAATTTCATTTCTTTTCAACCACTTATTTCTTTGATTGCTTCTTAACTTGTTATAATTTTAGTAATTAATAATAAATAGTAAACTAATTTCCCGTGGAGATGATAACTCACTCACTACTATATTACTTGTTGATAACCATGTGTACTTGCATGACACCTTGCTAAAATTGATAAAAATTTTAAAGTAATTTGCCTTGAAAAATTAATTAGCAAGCAACAAGGACCCAACCTATGCTAGATCATGAAGGTATGTAAAAACCATGAAACTTCTAGGTTTTTCTCATCAACTTTAACTCCAATTCTTCCAACTTAATAGAATATTTTTCTTCGATTTAAAAGAAGGCCTTGTAATGATAAGTCTAGCTAAAACCTTTAATTTTTATTCTGCAACTTTCTTGAAAATCTCCAAATCTTACACAAAGAGAATTTTGTGAATTCACTTTAGAACTTTTGTCTCTTAACCAAATGAAAAGTGAATCCTAGGCTTAAGTGAGCTATTTGCATTAACACGGTTTGTATTGTAAAAAGTTTTAACGTAAAACTATGACTCAGGTCCAATTATTTTTAATTAACTTGAAAGGTTTATTTATCACACTTTAATAAAATATAGATATATTAGTCCAAATGTCATTTCGACCGGCTATTGCATCCATATTGAAATAGCTCAAAATTGTTGTAATTTTTTGTCTAAATAAACTCAATTTGGTCAAAATTTAACCAGAAAAAAAGAAGAGAAATTGAGAGATTAGACAAAGAAATTCAACCTAGAAAAAGGTGAAGAAAATCTGCGCCAACATTTCCTGCCCAATTTTATAATTGGTTCAACTCCCTTAAGTAATAAAAGCCACATTCTTGAACAATCAGTCAATCACATATACATCTCTTTTGAGAGACTAGAACAATAGAATCAGTCAACGAACACATCAGTTTTTTGTTGCCGAGGGGTGGACAACAATAGGGAAGAAGTAAGAAAAAGCCATTACATCGAGGCTGATGCCATGACATTGAATCTCTTGGAAGGATGCCTTGCGACTTTGACCATTGTCTTTCCTTAAACATTTATTATTCCTGAAAAGACAAGAAAAGAAATGAAAGTAATATAAGAAAGGAAAGACTAAAACATTCATTTGGCAGGCATTGGTTATGAATTTGAAGAGACATAAAAAAAAGGATGAAAAAGATGGAGATTAAACCCTAAAAAGCTTTTACTTGTGGACAATTGAGAGGAACTCACCCACGAGGAAGAAAAGAAGTTTTTTTTCATGATTGCTACATTGTTACCCATGCTTCTTTCCACATTTGCTACAAAATCTTCTTTCATATTTGTGAGGGTTAATTCCTTCAAGGTTATTAGCTTTTCCAATCCATCAGGCACTTTAAGATTTTTGCAACATCTGATCTCCAGTTCTCTTAACAGTGGCATGGCTCCATCTTGCACGGTCCAGCAACTAAGTTTATGTAGCATCCACAATTTTAAGACCCCCAGTTTAGGAAATCCACCACGATAACAAGTCATCTTTAACCCCAAGAAGGATTGAGCATAAAGCCTAAGGGCCTTCAGCTGCTTCAGCCCCCCGAGCGTTTCCATTGGGTCTTCTGACAAATGTGTCATCGACAGTGTGAGGATTTCAAGATTTTCAGGAAAATCAGTAGCGGCAATTGGCTTTGGAAGTTTGGCAAGCAAATAAAGCTGTGATAGGCTCGTCCGCTTCCATGTCCGCATGTCTTCTACACTGAGTTCTAAAGGCTGATTGAATTTATCTAGTAATCTCAAATTCAAGGAATGAAGTTTGTCCATTTGAGATATCCAGGGAGCTATGATTTCATTTGATGCATCATTGCATGTTAACTTCAATTTCCTAAGACCAACCAAACTTTTCTTCCAACTGTTGTAGGGTCTGACTTTTCTAATTACCAAGCCGCACAAAATCTTAAGATTGTTCAGTGAACCACAAGTTGATGGCTTTAGAGTAGACATATCAACATCAATATCACTCATATACAAATGCTGAAGCTTCTTTGCCTTCCAGATGGTACTAGGCAACTTGGTTATGAAAGTGTGTTTTACGTCTAAAGTCTCCAGGTGAGACAAGTTACCAACTGATTGTGGGACATCATCCAAAAGTGTCCGCCTCAATCCCAAATACCTTAGATATGGTAGTTTCCCCAGTGTATCAGAAAGCGCTGGTTTGTAGACACCTTCTAGATCAAGCACTACAAGCATTCCATCAACAACCTTACTAAGCAGTTCCTTGACTCCATACGTAGGTATATCTCCTCTTTTCCCACAGAAGGATATATAAGAACGTAGTCGTCTTACACGGTTTTCTATGTGTTCAAACTGGAGGGAAATATCTAAGTTTTCTGCAAGCCGTCGGACACAAGACCATGGTGACTCCCATCTACCTGAACCGTTGGAGACGTGAAAAAAACAAACTTTTTCTGTATCTAGAAACAGGCTGTCATATATGGTATTTGGCACACGGCATGTCTTGGCGCTTCCATTTAACTTAAGTCTTGTAACCTCAATCATGTTTCTGCTTTTCAGTTCTTCAAAATATTCCTCCACCAGCTTTTCAGGACTTCTCATCGGATCTGTTGGTATCACAAACCCCTCAGCAAGCCATAGCTGATACAACCTCCTAACAGGAATCTCATATGACTTGGGAAAAAGACCCAAATAAAGAAGACAGCATCTTAAAGGTGGGGCTAAATCCTGATAAGCTAAAGCCATGATATCCAAGAAAGGCATTTCATCCGAAAATGTTGATTTATCTGAGGAGTTTGACTGATCTTCTCTAGAAGTTGCCATTGTCAGCAATTTCCTCTGTTCTTTTTGCCTGGTAGCAGACCAAGCTGACTGATTTGGCAAATCTTTTTGAACTTCACCAGCTGTTTTATGCTCCGTTCTCATTACTCTCTTGATTTTTTCCTTGGTTTCTGAGGAAGTAGATTTGCCAGAGGGGTCCTTTGGATCTTCAACCCTTACCATCTTTTTTGTTTCCATTATACCAAAGGAATGTTCAATCACACTTCGCCATTCATCATATTTACCCTTCGTAGACAACAGACCCCCAAGCAGAACTATTTGAAGAGGTAGACCACGGCATCTTTGCAAGATCTTGTCCTTTAACTGTGAATCATTTATATCTATCTGCATCATCTTTGCAATTTGTACCTTCTTAAGAACAATGTCCAGCTTTCTTCATCAGTTAGGGGACGTAGCTGTAGCACTACGGGGCTTGGATTGATATGGTATGCTAGATAGGATTACGAGTGGTGATTATGACCCTGCTGCCATATGATAATTTGGGAAAGCCTGGATTAAGTCTCTCCCAAGCGTCTGGTGTGGAGATATCATCCAAAACTATCAGGTATCTCTTCCAAGTTAAGCAAAGACGAAGCATTTCCCTCAACTGCTCAAGACCCAGGCTCTCTTTCTGCTTGGCATTTCTAAGTTGCCCCAATAAGTCAATCAAGAGTTGTCTCTCATTGAATTCGTCCAATTTCGGTGGGACACTAACCCAAGCTCGGCATTTGAAGTACCTCTTACTTGCCACACTATTATAAATTGTCTTGACAAGAGTTGTTTTGCCTGAACCTGCCACACCTAACACTGTAATTAGAAAATGCAACCTGGAGCTGTTCAGTGTTAGTTCTGCTAATTCCTTTACTTTAGAGTCCAAACCAACAGTGCTTGGATCTTTGTCCTTAACATCAGAAAGCCTATCGCAGGGCTCTGCACCTTTTTGATCCGAAACATCTTCTTGCACATCTTTCAAGTTACGCAACTCTCTCTCAGGGATCATTCCAGAGACAGAAGAATTGGTCTTGTGCTCCTCGTTAGCTTCACCTTCACTTAGAGTCAAAATCACCCGGCTACCATTCAACGAATTTGGAAGGGAAAGTTTGAGATTGTCCCAAATTTTACTAGTCCATACATCATTTAAAACCACAAGGTACCTCTTCTGAGCTAAGAAATTGTGGAGCCTTTTTCGTAGTAACTCCACTGTCTGCTTTTTTTCCAACTTGACACTTGCAACTTGCTCCAAAATGTTAGTGAGAATATCTGTTTCATTAAACTGCTGTGGAACATGAACCCAAGCACGACATTGGAAATGCTGTTTAACATCTTTTGCATTGTAGATTGGCCATAGCAAAGTTGTCCTGCCAGAGCCTACCGAACCCTTGATTGAAATGAGGAATAGCAAAATGTGTGGATTGAGAATTGATTGAGTGAACTTCTCTATTGCAGCCTTCACGCCAGTAAAACCATATTCCTCCTCCAAATAAGCAGAAGATTGAGGCCATCCATGCAATAACTTCTCCTCCAGCTTTCGAAAGTTAGACAAATAAAATCTCCCAACGATCCATGTATTAATTTGCCTCGCGACTTTGTCACCGTGAACAACAGTAATCACCCGGCTACCATTCAATGAGTATGGAAAGGCTGCTTTGATATTGTCCCAAAACTCTGCTGTTTGGACACCATATAAAACTATCAAATACCTCTTGGAAACTAAGAAATCGTGGAGGCTTCTCAGCGGTGACTGAAGGAGCAGCCTCCCTGTCTCTTTCCTATCGGCAACCTGCTCTAAAATGGCTTGTATGATCTCTCTTTGTCCAAGCTCTTCAGAAACACGAATCCAAGCTCGACACTGGAAATGTCGTTTGATATCATCTGCATTATAGACTGTCCACAAGAGAATTGCCCTACCAAGGTACGCCCCATCAACAGTTAAAATGAGATATTGCAAAGCAAGTCGGCTGAGTAGTTGTTGATTTAACTTCTTTACAAGGTCTGTCAAAACAACTATATCTACATTTGGAACGGTCTCCTTATCAACTGAGACTTGTAAAGCTTCAGAGTCAGTTGATGACTTTGTTGGTGGAATCAACTCTGCTGGTGGAACTTGCCCATCTTTAGAGTCAGTGGGTTGACTTTGCACAACTCCGGAGTCACGGGATGGACTTGGATGAAATTGTTTGCAGTAAACCCTTACATTCTTTACTAGTTGCTCAATCTTATTGCTTGAGAGCACTTCACTGGTGAAGTGGGTGGAAGTATGCCTCTTTCTCTGGACTTTGTGACCCTGCAGCATTGTTCTGCCCAAAAAGGTCTCAATATCATCCTCCAAAGAATAAATATCGTACAGAAGCTTGTCCCAGTCTTCAATTGTTTTATGACTTCCTTGGTAGTTCTCTGCACTTTCCAGGACTTTCTGCAAATGGTTTAGCTCTTCAATCAAGTTATTGATGACTTGGCTTTTCAAACCTGGATAATTAGCTTCATCACTTGCAATCAAATTTAGTTTTGTTATCAAAATATGTGTTGTTTCAAAAGCCATGGAACTGAACTCTCAGTAATTATCTTTCTTGAAAACGGCGGAAAAGGATGAACTGCACACGTATCAGAACTGAAATGGAAAATCACATGCCTCCTTGTCAATGCCTCTTTCTTCAAAGGTACACAGCTATTCTTTATCCTTTTTCAGTTGAGTCCTGCATCATCACATGCTGAGGATCATTGGCTCTGGAATTGTATTCTACATTTAATGAAAATCAATGTTGTGAGGTAACAATATTCTAAAGAAAATTTTATATATGCATTTGTACCCATAAAGATACTAATTGAATTCAACTTTTATTTTTTCCAAACATTAAATTCAATTCTTTTCTTTTTCCCCTTTTGGGTATGGCAAATTTAGAGAAAACTTAAATTGAAACCTTCTTGTTCTAAAAGCTATGTTTGGGTGTGCTTGAAGTAAATTTTAAGGACATGCAAGAAAAGGTAGAATTTGATAAGTTCCTTCATCAAAATTCAATTCGTGATATGACCGGTTCCCAAATAGATATCTCAACCATTAAAATTTGTGATTTGAACTTCGAAGTTTTACATATATATATATATATATATATATGTTATTGGTACATAGTTTCCATACCATGCCAACTCATCAAATGTTGTTAAAAATTTTTAAGGATTTAAACTTAAATATTAAAATTTTTTTAACAATTAATTTAATAAAAAAGGTATAATATCCAAAAATGCCCTTAAACTATTTAGAAAAATTTAAATAAGTCTTTATACTTTTTTATGTTTAATTAAGATTTTGTACTTTTATTTTAAACCAAATAAACCTTTTTACTTTCATTTTAAATCAAGTAAGCCCTTATAACTAATAATTGACTTAATTAAAATATCATTTATTATTTTATACTACATGATGTTGATGTAACTTACTAGTATATATAATTAATGATGATATAACATGTTGACATATCATAATTAATGATGACTTGGTGTGCTAATTTGACATAATAACGTAACTATGTTATACTTTTTACTCTTCACATCAACATCATATAGATATAAAATAACAAGTGACATTTTAACTAATAGTAATTAATCCATCACTAGTCATAAGGGTTTATTTGACCCAAAATAAAAGTATAGGAATTTATTTAAATTTTCTTTAATAGTTTAAGGACTTATTTGAACATTATGCAATAAAAAACAAAAAAAAATTCTTTTTTCTCTTTCCAACTCCCTCACAACATTCTTTTATTATTCTCTTTTTTTTGGGTAAAATACCCCATCTCCTAAGTTTTAATCGAAATTTCAAGTGAGTCTATTAATTTTCAAAATGGGCACTCCATCTCAAAAAAATATCTTCTACTAGACACATAGGTCTAACCGTTAGTGTTTCGATTAGTTTGACGACTTGGCAATATTGAAATAATAATTTTACCCTTCATTAATTTGAAAAATTACTATTATATAATTTTTATTAATTGTTTTATTAATTTAAAAAAATAGGGGAGCACCAATCAAAGATCAGTGCTCCCTGATCAATGCTCTCCTCTCTTTCGGAGCTAAGGAACATCGATCGATGCTCCTCATTTTTCAAAAACATATAATAATAATTTTTTAAATTAATAAAAAAAAGTATTTTAATCCTTTCATAATCTCTATTAACGGTGTTTACACTTTTCAGGAAGAGTCTTTATTTCAAATATCAATAGATTCATTTGAAAGTCAATTAAAATTTAAGGTGCGGGGGTATTTTACCTTTTTTTTTATCCCTATCTACCTCTATCATTTTCTTTTTCCCTTCTTCTTCTTCCATTAAAATTAAAATTAAAATTAAAATATTTTCACTTTTCCTTGAAACTTATTCACCTTATTTTCATGTTCTCTAGACTTCAAAACTAAAATCCTACTAAATCTCTAAAGAGTATTACTGAAACCCTAAGAGAGAAAAAGTAAGGAATTTGGTATGGAGGTTTTCTTTTTATTGAGAGAAAGAGAGAGAAAGAGTGCTATTGAAACAAAGAAGTAAACCCTCATTTATTTATTTAAAAAAACCAATTGGTTATGACATGATAACCCTAAATCAGATATAAGAATCATTTTAAAAAATATATCATTAAAGTCGATAAGAAAATATTATCTCTACAAAAAGAAAATCTCCCCACCAAATTCCTCATTTTTTTCTCTCTCTTAGGGTTTCAACAACACTCTCTCTTAAGGACTCAACAAAATTTTAGTTTGGATACCTGAAGAACATGAAAAGAAGGTGAATAGGTTTTGGGGAAAAGTTGAAATATTTTAATCTTAATGGAAGAAGGAGAAACAAAGAAAAAGAAAATGGAGCTAGAAAAAGATTAAAAAAACAACAAAAGAACGCTGTGAAGGAGTTGGAATTATAATTTTTTATTTTTTATTTAATTAATTATTAAAAACTTTTTAATATTTAAGTTTAAGTTTCTAAACATTTTTATTTTTACTTTATTAATGAGAAGACAACATTTGATCAACTGAGCCATACATTGTCAGTAAATCAAATCTAAACCCATATATATAATGTCAAATTAATTAATTTCAAATTAGAATCTTCTAAACGTAACACATCCATTTATTTGCAAATGAATTGTCATGTAAAAAAAATTCTATTGAAATGAAATTCAATGTCAATAAAAGATATTAAGTAAAAGAAGAACTATCTTTTGATTTTGGGTTACGACGAATCTTAGTGTTGGAACAAGAACAAATCAAGAAATCATGTAATTAAAAATGCTGACAAAAATAAAAATATTTCTAAAACATTCCGATTTATACATTAACTTACCAATCAAAAAAAGAACAGAGAGGAAAAGATAGAGAGGCATAGGAACATAGGGAGTGAGAGAGTAAGAGCAAGAGGTTGGTGGGATAGCCATAGTTTAGGTTTGAGAGAAAGAAAGGTTGAGAGAGGGAATAATGGCAAGTTTGATATCCAACAATGGAAGAAAAAAGTCCATTCTGCCTTTGTGGATAATATAAGCTTCGGAGTAAAGTGGGGGGAGCTCAAGCACTTCTTTGACTAGTTTGGAGTGGTAGTGGACCTTTTTGTGTGAAGGCAGCAGAGAAAAAGAGACACAAGGTATGCCTTTGTCTACCACTATTTTGAAGAAGAGCTTAATAGAACGATTAATTTTGGTTAAAGCATAAAATTGGATGGGCGATTCCTCATCAAGGTAGCCGACAAATCTGAGGAGGTGATTGATAGGAATGGTGTAGTGAGACAGAAGCGACAAGAGGTTGCTAGCTTTAACGAGGGAGAAAGTCGTTCAAAGATGTAGTCATTAACAATGGCAATAGGGAAAACAAAAGACTCAAACAACCTATAATAGAAAAAAGATCACTAAATAGAAAGGTTGATGGAATTTGGGTGCATATAGAGGAGGAAGATGTTGAATGGATCAAGAAGAGTGCCACAAGAAGACTAAGAAGGCCAACTAGCTATGAAGAGATCCAAAACTTACTGTTTAGAGAAAGAGTTTTAGCTCTGGTAAGGCCTACAAGTGGCTTAAATGTCATGGTTACTTTTAATGAGGTGGAAGACATGGAAAACTTTTTGTAACTTTATATGGACATCTTTGAGGTCTAGTTTGAGGAATTACAGCCATATGACATGAAAAATGATGGAAGAAGATATACGATATAAGTTAGAATGGAGGAAATGCCTGCACACATATGGCATCATAGGATATTCAAAGCATTGGGGAATTATAGGGATAGATTCATCTAGACTGATAAAGCTACGGAGTTACGATGAAGACTTGACTCTGTTCTAATAAAAGTTGAGGTAACAAGTAAAAGAAAAGTGCCTTCATGTCCGTAAATTATTGTCAACGGTAAAACTATTAGAATGAGAGCATATATTATTGAAAAGAATGTAGTTGAATTAGAAAAACAGACACTAAAGGCGACAAAAAGGTGATCAGATCGAAACCATAATTAGAATAAGTCAATAAAGTCCTATAGGAGAAAAAGCTGAACAGGGTGGCAAATAAAACTCTAACCGTGGATGATTTTGATGTGGACGGGGAGGAAAAAGCTATGGTGTGGATGAAACATAGGGAAATGTGTGATAAAAAATAGATGGCACACATAGGAATGGATAAAATCTCTTTAGGGAATGATAATAGGGGACATAAAGTTGATAAGACAAGTGGTGGAAGTCCAAAAAGGGGTAGTGATGCAAAAAAGAGAGGTTTAAATCTTAATGGAAAGAATGAGAAATAGAGAGAAAAAATGAAGACTGAAGAAAGTAAGGTTAAGGAAATGGTGGGTTATCAATTCGTGTGTATCCCTATGGAAAAGAAAAGGGTCCATAACCCATATGGCTCACATAAAGGAAGTAGCCCAAGCTTGAGGGAACTGAGAATAAGGTCGTGCAACAAAGAGAAAGAAATATGTATCTATGGAGTAAGGTCAAGTGAAAAGAAAATGGATGATGAGGAATCTTCAGATTTAGGGACAGCACTTGAGAGATGGGCTAGGTGTTAAAGTTAAGTAGGAAATGGGCCAAAAAAATATGGGAAGTAAGTGGAACAAATAGGGTTAAGACTCAACTAAAGGGAAAGGCCTTGAATGCTAACAGTAGCAGTGGGGTTGATAGAAGAGGCCTAAATTCCAAATTAAGGAAAACTAAATAGAGAAATAAGAAAGGGAGGTGATGGGCATGGGACAAAGAAGGGAAAATAACACAAAGAACGGCTAAAGAGCTCAGTTAAGGAAAGATCTAGTAAAAGAAATTCTAAAATGAAGAAAAGAAAAAAGGGTATAAAGCGAAGACTCAAAAACTCCAAGTTGACAATTTCAGATGATTTTACTCTTATTGATTTGGTAAAATCGATGGAATAAAAAAAAGGAAAAAGTCAAGTTGAAGGGTAAAAAAAAGAAAAAAGAAAAATGTGGTCCCAAAAAGAAAGTAAAATTAATGATGAAAAAAACCCATAAAAAGGAAAAAGAAAAAGAAAGTTTAAGGGTTATGGTACTAGTTGAACAAAGAGGATTAAATAATGATGCAGATAGGGAGGGGAGACTTGCATTACTGTGGAAAGAAGCATTGATATCGATAGACATTAGTACTGAATTGGGTTTGGATTTCAGAGAAGAAAAAAAGGAAGTACTAAGGGAATTGGTAGAGGCAGTAAATGTGAAGTAGTAAAGGGTTTACTATAAGTCAGGTACGTTTATGAGTTTTTTCTTTATGAT